GACAGGCTCTCCGGGAGGAGGGGGCTCAGTCTGCGCAGAGGTGTGGAGGGGTGAGAGGAGGCGGGCGGGCCCAGCACCCGGAGCTGCTTGCACTCTGGGAGGAAGACTGAAGGAGAATGAGACTCACTGTGTGACCCCCCGGGGGAGCATGCACTTCATAGTGGGGACAAGGAGCTGTGGGTGAAATTGATGCATCTGTGGTGGTAGAATTTCAGTCCTGGGCTCTGTGTGGGGAGGAGGCTCAGGGTCAGGGGTGCCAGGCCACGTGTGGGGGAGGGCAGCTGTCCCACAGCCGAGGCCTCATTAGCCGCATCCCCAGCCCGTCGCTCCCATCCCCAGGGGGCCTTGCCCACGACCAGCAGGATATCCAGATCGGAGCTGAAACCCTTGAATGGAGCATTCTGGGAATGTCCCCCTGCCCTTGCCTTTTGGGTTACCTTTAACACTGAGCCAGGTTACAAATGTCCGCATCCAGCCACCCCAGTTAGGACTGAGCTGCCAGGGAAGGGGCCGACTTTGCTCTGATCCAAGGCATCCTTCCCAGTGATGGATGGGAAGGGGCTCTGGAAATTCTGACATGTTCTATCAAGTCAGGAGTGGGAGGGCAGGAGGCAGGAGTTTGCTGACAGGACAGGGGACAAAGTGCTGGGGACAGCCCCTAAACACAGGGCTTCCTGTGTGCTTGGCGCTTTTTATCATTCCTTCCTCTTATTATGTCTATTTTACAGGTGAGGAAACTGAGGCAGGGAAAGGCTGAGTGAATTGTTTGAGATCAGTAGTTAGGAAACAGCAGAGCTGGGTCTGCACCGGGCAGCCTGGCTCTGGGTTGCACACTGGGTTGGCCCCTGGGCAGCAGGGAGGAGCCCGGGTTTGGCCAGAAGGGAAAGAACTCATCATCTCTGGGGGCGCTTGGGGGGGTTCAGTCGGTGAAGCGTCTGCCTTCGGCTCAGGTCATGATCTCGGGGTCCTGGGATCGAGCCCCGTGTCGGGCTCCCTGCTTAGTGGGGAGTCTGCTTCTCCCTCTGCTCCTGTTCCTGCTCTCTCTCTCTCTCAAATAAATAAATAAATAATCTTTAAAAGAAAAAAAAAAAGAACTCATCATCTCTGCGGCCCAGAGTTGTTTTCAGAGGGCGTCATACTCGGAGTCTGACAAACCCAGCGTGGAATTCTGGCTCAGCCACTTCCCTGTGTAAGCTGCCCAGCTTCTCTGTGCCTCGGTTTCCCCCTCTGTAAAATGGGGGCGGCAACGCCCACCCCCCGGAGCTGTTGTGAAGATCTAATGACGTGATGTATGTGACGTGCCAGGCACAGACGTGCGGAAGAAACAGGCGCCGTCGTGATGGCTGGCATTGCATGTGACCACGGAGGGCAAGACAGAATGTGCTTGGGCTGGAGGAGAGACCACAGTCGTCCAGTAGGAAGGACTTGGTGTCCTTCAGAGGCCTCTCCGTGCTGGGGGAAGTTTGGGGAGCAACTCTGGCCTCTGCGGCCAGCCGGTGCCAAGGGCTCGGGGGTTCTGCCGGGCTGGGGAGGCCGCCCTTGGACCCCGGGGAAGGGAGCTGGTGAAACCAGGGAGCGGGAGCCCCTTTGGAGGGCGGGGACGAGAAGTGGTGTCGCCAAGTGGAAATGAAGAGCCAGCAGGGGCGTCCCCACTCCTCGGTGTCCCTTCTCCGCTGTGGGGGCGGCCCGACCTGGCCCCGTGGTTCTGGCTGTGCAGCCGTGGGCAAGCTGCTTCTCTCTTTGGGCCGCTCGCTTGTTCATCTGTATAAATGGGCTCCTCTCATAGGTTCTAATTCTAGTCCAGGACTCAAGCTTAGCTTGAGGGGGCCTGGGCCTGCCGAGGGGCTAGGAGAGAGCTAGGAAGGAGGAAAGTGATGGAGGATGCCCATCTCTGGGCAAAAGGAGGCTGGAGACTTGGGGCACTCGGGGCCTTGGCTGGTGAGCAGGCCAATAATGGGGGGGTGACATGGGAACATGGGACAGGGCCCCTGGTGCCAGAAGTGACTGTGGGGCAGACCGGCCCAGATCAGAGTGTGTCGTGGGGGCAGGAGGCCAAGCTGATGGCAAGCATGGCCACCACAGGGCCAGTCCACACCTCCGGACCCGGGCATGGACCGAGGTGCCTATGATGAGGACACTGGGGAGACTGGCTCTGGCCAAAGGAGAGGGACTCTGAGGCTGGGAAGTGGGTGCCAGGTCTTCCCATGCTGCTCTGGGACAGGCAGGGGCCAGACCAGGGCACGGGGAGGTGGCCAGGAATCACGACCCCATTCAGACCAAATCAAGGTGCGGTTCCGGGGGTGGCAGAGTCCCCCCTATCAGGTCTCACCTCCCCTCTCCGATTGTCCTCTTCATCTGGGGCTTCAGGTCCTAAATGTCAGAGGAGGAAGTGGGGAAGGCCTGGGCTTCTCCCCAGGGGAGCCTTGCTCCCGCGCCGCCCGCTCTGCGCTGCGCTGACTCTCCACCCCGAGCCCTGGGCCCGGCTCCCGCTGCAGGGATTGTAGAGCTGCTGGGGTGGCGGGCAGGGCGGGGCAGGGCAGGGCTGCAGGTGCGGGTTGAGAGCACGTGGGGAGGGGCGCCTGGGGGGCTCAGTCGGTTGAGTGTCTGCCTTCAGCTCAGGTCATGATCCCAGGGTCTTGGGATTGAGCCCCACGTCGGGCTCCCTGCTCAGCTGGAAGTCTGCTTCTCCCTCTCCTCCCCACCTGTGCTCTCTCTCTCTCTAATAATTAAAAATCTTAAAAAAAAAAAAAAAAAGAAAGAGCACATGGGGAGGCAGCCTGAACGGGGAGGGAGGCTCAACTCTGACACTGTGGAGTCCTGCAGACTGGGGCGGGTTACTTAGCTTCCTGGCCTCAGTTTCCTCGTCTAGGAAATGGGATAATAATGATGATAATGAAGTTCCTACCTCATAGACTTGCTGCAACGAGGATTACATAAGGCGAGAGACATGAGCGCTTAGAACTGGCCCAGCATATAATCAGTGATAGATAGTTGAATATCATTATTCTCATGATAAGCTGTTTATAACCATAACCAGGGTGGGGGCAGGAGAGAACAGCTGCAGGGCCCCATCAGGCGCTGCGTGCCATGTGCCCATCAGGGGGCTCTGGGTTGACCTGCTCTATCCCACTCAGGCATGGGATCCGCGGTGAGGCTCAGGGCACAGATGGGCCAGGCCTACAGGCAGCCCCTCACGCCACCCCCCTGCCTCAGGCCCCAAGCGGGCATTGCCCAGAAGGCAGGCGGCACAGTGGTTTGACCCCCAGGCTCTGGAGTCAGATGGCCTGGGATCCAATGAGCAGCTTCTTAGCAGCTCTGTGGGCTGGGCTGGATGCTCAGTATACAAGGCCACGCCACCAAAAACAGGGCCGTTGTGAAGGCCCTTCTGTGTCATACAGTTGTCATAAGGATTCCACGAAGCAAACCCAAGGAAAAGGCTCAGCCCGGTGAGCATGCTCTGCTCTGCCACGGGCCGGGCACCAAAAAGCCTTGAACAAGCTAACTTACTTCCTAAACCTCGGCTTCCTCGGCCGGGGGCTGGTGATGTTCTCCAACCTTGGAGAAGTGATCAGAAATGCTACAGGTAAAGCAGCTGGCACAGAGTGAGAGCTGATAAATGGCAGGCGTTTAGTTCAGCCCTGTGTCTAGTCCAGGAAGCCTGTGTGTGTGTGTGTGTGTGTTTTCCCAATCTGCATTTGGGGTCTTCTGGTCCCTCTTCCCAAGGCTTCTGTCATGATTTTGGGTGGGGGACTCGACTGAGGTCACTGCCAGACTGGAGCCTTGGGTCAGTGCTGGATGTGAAGGGGGAGGAGATGGGCCCCCATGCAACCCTTCTTCCGGCTCACACGGTCCCTGATCACAGGGCTGATTGCTACTGGCCTTCGAGTCCACTGAGACCCACAGATCATTTTCTCAGTTTCTCCCGCAAAATGTCATCCCTGCTGTTCCAGTGCTGGGGGAGAGAGGGGAAGAACAGCACCTTGGCTTTCTAGTATTTTAAACTCTATTCCTCGCTCCCCACAAGACCTTCCCTTCTGTTGACTCTTTATAAAAGCTGAGAGGTTGACAGGATATTGATTGAGAAATGAGGGTTAGAAGAGTAAGGTGACTTGACTAAGGTCATGAGTGTTGGCTGGGAGAGTATGATCTGGGATCTTCTCCCTCCTGACACTGAGCTACTCTTGTCTTGACACAAAGCCAAGCTCCAGTCTCAGCTGAGAGGGAAGACGGCACTCTAGAAACTTCTAGGAAGCTGCCAAGGTGGTCATGGAGGCCCTGGGGGACAAAGGACAGAGGACCTAGTAGAAGCCACCAGTTCCCTGGGGAGGCGCTGGGGGGCTATTGGCTGGGCAGGTAGCGTCCTGGGGAGGAGGCTCAGGCACACTGCCATGGACAGCGTGTGTGTGTGTGGGGGGGGTGGTGGGTGTGGGTGTGTGCGTGCGCAAACCTCAGGCACACGTGTACATATGAGTTTCCTGCTGGGACTGGGGCTTCTCTGCTTCTCTACTTCATCTGAGATGGGACTGGGGTCAAGCCAACTCCTGTCACCTCCCTCGCTTTAGGTTTGGGTTATTTCCCATGGGTCACTGGAGTCTCTGTGTGACCCCAGACACTTAGACTCCCTAGAAGATTGTCCAGCCCAACCGCTTCAGGGCCCATCAGGGCAACTGGCCCAGAGCCTAGGAGGGACTTAACCTGGGCCCCCAAATCCACCTTTCCAGTCCAGGGTTTTTTTCATGGTATTGCATGGCCCCCAATGCCCCCGCGAGAGGTTTCTGTGGGTCCCCACACTAACGTCCGACATGCCCGCATGTCGGTCTGCCCTTCAAGGGGCAGTGTATTGCTGAGGCCAGGGAGCGCACTCAGGTGCTGGGCTGCTCGAGGCTCTGGGCTCCGGCTGACCCACGGGCCTGGCATGGCTCCGCCTACCCCAGAGGGCTCACGAGGAAGAAAAAAGGCCCCTGATGGGCCATGTGCCACCACCCTCTGTCTACCCGCAGGTCCCTGGCCCTGGGCCAGCAGTACACATCCCTGGGCTCACAGCCCCTGCTCTGCGGCTCCATCCCAGGCCTGGTCCCCAAGCAACTGCGCTTCTGCCGGAATTACATCGAAATCATGCCCAGCGTGGCCGAGGGCGTGAAGCTGGGCATCCAGGAGTGCCAGCACCAGTTCCGGGGCCGCCGCTGGAACTGCACCACCATAGACGACAGCCTGGCCATCTTCGGGCCCGTCCTGGACAAAGGTACTGTCTCTGGGCCTGGTAGCGGGTGGGGGGAGGGCCTGAGGACACAGTGACTCTTCCCCCCTCGGGGTGCCTCAGCTCCCAGCCCGGGGTCCGCAGGAGAGGGCCGTAAAGCTGGTCAGGACCCGCAGCCTCCACAAAAGTGGGTCAGCTCCCTCTCTGGACCAACCCACACTGTCACCATGGCCGCCACACCTTCCCAGGTGCTGCTGGGGGCTGAGCAGCCTTGAGATGCTCTGTATCCTGAGATCCTAGGGCAGGACAGGAGGCCATGGCCTTCCTCCCCACCCCCCTCCCAGCTTGCACAGTGGTGGGGGGCAGGCTTTGTTGTGGACTTTTGTGACATTTTCCCATCACTGTGTTAAGTGCTATGCAAATCTAGCTTTTGGCGGGGGGTGGGGGGTGGGGGGGGTGGAGAGCATTACCACCTCTAGGTCCCTCCCGTATAGAAAATTCTGGAGCTGAGGAAACTGTGAGATGCTGGTGGCATTGCATTGAGAAGATTCTGCTGACCCCCATACCCCTGCACGCTGGATCTGCCCAGACTGTGGAGGGGCTAGAGGGCAAGCCGGCCTCCGGGTAACTTTCCCGCCCTCCTGCAACCTGCCAGTCTAACCGGCTGGTGCCTGAAATGAATGGCATTCACACAACTTGACCTCAAGCATGACCAGGGGAGAGGGATGAGGGGGCCACTGCTCCCAAGAAGGGGACTTTGGGGCTGGAGAGTTCTGGGCCGAAGATGGACACCTCTGAGGAATAGCCGTGTCCTGGAATTTAATGACCCCAGCTGGTCTCCTGGGAGCCACCACTCCCTTTCCGCAGCAACTTGAACCCTCCCGACCACCCCCTGGGGTTTTGCCACCCAAACTGGTGAGCCTGGCCCTCCCTTCTTTTACAAGAACTGTATTTATAGCCAGAAGGAAAAGGGATCTGAGAGCCAGGTGGATCTGATGGGGGGGGGTGTGGGCGATGGGGGGCACTGACCCCCTACATATTAGTGTGCGGTCCCCCTTTACCTGGGCTTCAGGTATGCTGGGTCTGTCTGACCTACAGGCCATTGTCAAGGGACAGAAGAGCAATTAGCGAATCAATGGATGATGATTCTGTTTACGCTTCTATTACCAAAGCTAATTATTCCTTGTTTACATAAAAGGTTTGGCCTCTAATTGGGGCCAAGTGGCGGCGGTTTGCATTTCAAACCTGATCTTGCCCGGTGTGTCAGTCTCACCGCCTTCCGGTGCCCCACCTCGGGCCAGGTAGTGCTTAATCAAACAGCCTGGCGTCTAGACGCGCTCCCCAAAAGCAAGACTCGCCTTCTGGTTGCTCTTCCCCGCTTGGGACATTTGGCAATGAAAATCGGGCCTTTGAGCCTATTACCCATGCACGTCTGTGTTCAACGTTTTCAATCACCGTTGTAGGTTCTGGTACCTGCCTTCATCTCTAAATTGCAAGAGGGCGGTTCTGTGTTGGCCGGGGGTGGGGAGCTGGCTAATATGTCAGAAACTCTAGGAATTTGATGAAGCCGAGGAAGGTCCGGGAAGAAGGCTCCACGCCGGCACGCGGGCTTCGGCGGGTCCCCACCAACGCCGCGCGGGCCGCCACGCGTTAAGCTCTGCACACGCCCTCCCCCCAACACACACGCTTTGAGAGCCAGGGGGGCGGCTGCGGCGCGGTGGGGGGGCGCCCTGCCAGGGGCGCGCACCGTCCGCGGAGGCCGGGCCCCGCTCCCCACGGTTGGCCGGCCCGGAGGCCGGGCGGCGGCCGGCGGGGGACTCTCGCGGCACCCGTGGGGCGGGGGGGGGTGGGGGGGGAGGGGGTCGCAGGGGTCAGCGGCCGGAAGGCGACGGGCCGCGACGGCGGGGCGCAGGCGAGCCCGGATCGCGTTGCGCGGGCGGCCCGGAGGGGCTTAGGCGGCTTGAAAGGGGCCCGAGCGCCGCCCCCCCACCGCGCGGCCCGGCCCCGCGCCCGCTGCGGCCGCCGCGCCATTCACACGCCCTCTGGCCATTCGGCGCGGCGCGGCGCGGCGCGGGGGCGGGGGGCGCCGCTTCAATGGGGATTTCGCGGGCCGGCGCCGGGGCCGGGGGCGCGGCCCGGCCGCGGGAGCCGCCCGTTGCTACGCGGTGGCGGCCGGCCCGGCGGCCCGGGCCCGGCGGCCGCATTATGCGGGTAATGCGGTGTGACACCGCGCGAACAAAGGCGGATTGAGCGGCCCAGCGGGCCCCGCCGGACGGGGACCGGCACAGCGGGGCTGTCAGCGCCGCTCCCAGGCTAATCCCCGCCCCGCCCCGCCGCCCCCGCGTCCCCGGGGCTGGGAACCGAGCGCGGCCCGGGGTCCGGGCGCCGCCGCCGCCGCCGCCGCGAGAGGCCGCGGGCCCGGCCGGAAGCGAGCGCTGGCCCTCGGCGCCGCCACCCCCGGGCGCCCAGGGGAGGGCGGGAGCCGGAACGGGGGCGAGGAGAGGGGGCCCGAGGGGGGGCGGGGCCTTGGCCGCCCGCGGGCTCGGTGCGCCGGCGGGGCTGTCCGTGGAAGCGGGACGGGCGGCTCCTCCGCAGGTGGCCCCCGACGCTCCCAGGCTTCCCGCTTGGGTGCCGGGCCGCGATCTCCCTCAGCCCTCGGGATGGGAGCCCCGGCTTCTAGGCCGGCCTGCGTGGCCTTGGGCAGGTCACCTGCCGCTCTGGGTTCCTCTCCTGTCCGGAGCGAGGTGGTTGGACTGCAGTCTCCCAGGCCTTGGCCTTCTAATCCTCAATGTCTGCGTCTGTAAAATGGGCCTAAATTAAGACTTTCTGCCTCCTAGTTAAGAGGATTAAATGAGATCAAGAACATGAAGGGCAGAATCTGGTGCATAATGAGCTCTCAAACGTGGTTATCAGGATCATGAGGTTGGGGGACACCCCTGAGAAGTTCTCCTTTTCCTTCAAGGGATCCTGCCCCGTGTTCCGATCCTTCCCGTGGTGGCAGGGAGAGGGTTTGGGATTCGGGCCATTGCCCTCCTGGTCAGGAACTCTGGTGGCAGAGGGAAGTTATGCCCGTTTTACAAAGAGGGTAACTGAGACTCAGAAAAGGAAGGGGTCTGCCCAAGTGCATCGAGGTGGGGGATGGGGTGGACTTGGGTAGTTTAGGCAGTAGGTTCCCAGGCTTCCCTCCCGCAGGCCTCAGGCTCTCTCAGCAGTGGGAGGGCTCACGCCTGTGCTGCGGTCTCTGGGCAGATGGAGGGTAGGGGGCCCGGGGCCAGAACAGGGCAGGACGACCACATCTCTTCAGCAACCTGCCAGAGCTATAGTTTCTGCCCCTGCTTCTAACAGGCTCGGCTCTGCCCTGTACCAAGTGCTGAGGCCCTGGGTTAATCAGTTAGCTGCCCCGGGCCTCAGTTTGCTCATCTGTAAAGTGGGGATACCTCAGAGGCTGGGCCAGTCAAAAGGGGTCGGAAGGGCACCTTGGTTCCTCCCGCTTTCTCGGGGCTGGTGAGCCCTTCTTCCCGGCTGGGGAGGTCGAGGCAGGGCGGCTGTGCCCCAGGACCCGGCCTGAGCCATGCCCTCCCCACAGCCACCCGCGAGTCGGCCTTCGTGCACGCCATCGCCTCTGCCGGCGTGGCCTTCGCCGTCACGCGCTCCTGTGCCGAGGGCACCTCCACCATCTGCGGCTGCGACTCGCACCACAAGGGGCCACCTGGCGAGGGCTGGAAGTGGGGCGGCTGCAGCGAGGACGCCGACTTCGGGGTGCTCGTGTCCCGGGAGTTCGCGGACGCGCGCGAGAACAGGCCGGACGCGCGCTCGGCCATGAACAAGCACAACAACGAGGCGGGCCGCACGGTGAGCTGCGGCCGCCCTCGCACGACCCCGCCCGGTACCCCTTTGGGGACCCTGTCCCTGCCCCTCCTGGCTGGCCTCGCCCCCGCCCCACCCTGCCCTTCTGGTGACCCTTGTGCATCCCGGGCTCCCTGCTCTCCTCTTTCCCCTTGGTGGAGCTTGGCCCCCACCCACACCCCACAATCACCCCTTCTGTTCACCCATTCTCCCCGGGCTGTTTTGCATCTGCGCCCGCCCAGGGATGCGTCAGCTAGGGAGCGAGGGGCCCCATGGAGCAGGTACCCGCCAGCCCATCCAGTGCACTTGGGCTGCCCTGGGCAGGGCCGTGAAGACCGGTGGGCCTGACTGAATTCAGCCTCCACGGCTTCCTCTGGTTGTTTGATCTAGGGCGAGTCACTTAAGCTCCTGGTCTCAGTTTCCCCATCTGTTAAACGGGGATCACCATCCCCATCTCCTACAGCTTTGAGAAATGGCTGGGATTTCTGCCAATGCTTGGGCTGTGAAGGGGAGGGAAACAATGGTCATCAGTCTTTAGGTCCGCACCTCGGCCCCCAATCCATTCTCTTCCTGACCCCCAGTAGGAGTAGAGAAGGCTCCAGGGATGGGGTGGGCAGGGGGCAGAGTGGGAGGGCCTAGGTGGAGTCGTGCTGGGGGCCAGCTGCTTCTCCTCTTCCCCAGACCATCCTGGACCACATGCACCTCAAATGCAAGTGCCACGGGCTGTCGGGCAGCTGTGAGGTCAAGACCTGCTGGTGGGCCCAACCCGACTTCCGCGCTATCGGCGACTTCCTCAAGGACAAGTACGACAGTGCCTCGGAGATGGTGGTGGAGAAGCACCGCGAATCCCGCGGCTGGGTGGAGACCCTCCGCGCCAAGTACGCGCTGTTCAAGCCGCCCACCGAGAGGGACCTGGTCTACTACGAGAACTCCCCCAACTTCTGCGAGCCCAACCCCGAGACGGGCTCCTTTGGCACCAGGGACCGGACTTGCAATGTCACTTCCCACGGCATCGATGGCTGCGACCTGCTGTGCTGTGGCCGCGGCCACAACACGAGGACGGAGAAGCGGAAGGAGAAATGCCACTGCATCTTCCACTGGTGCTGCTACGTGAGCTGCCAGGAGTGCGTCCGCATCTACGATGTGCACACCTGCAAGTAGGGAGCCAGGTAGGGCGGCGGGCCGGGGGTGGCTGTGGGGCCTTGGGACAGGGACCTGGGTTTGCCCGGCTCCTCTTCTTGACCAACCCACTTCTCTTTCTGAGCTGTCCAAGACACGCGGCCCAAAATAGGAAGCCAGGATTTCCCCAGCTGCAGTGGGGATGGTCCCCGGGCAGCTTTGGGTGGACTACACAAAGCACAGATACCAGCCAAGGGTGTGCGCGCGAGACTGCCAGCAACTGATTAATATTTGTATCCAAGTTAGTAAATTATGAGCCAGGTCAGATGTTTGCATGGCCACTGGCTATCATTGCTGAGCATCTGGGAGCCAGAGGAGGGACACTGGGGGGCTGGAAGCCAGGACACCTGACTTCTGGTCCCAACCTTGCCCTGTTCCATGAAGTCCCCAATTTCCTGTTCTTTCACTTCCATGGGCCTCAGTTTTCTTACCGTAAAACAAGGGGGGTAAAATAGTTGAAATAGTAGGCCAAAGATCCTCTTTTACCCCTGGGGCAGAGTCATTTTGCATCCACCTTGAACTTTGAGGGCAGGTTTTTGCACAAGCATAAATCCTACTGACCTCGAGGAGGTGGGTGGGGGAAGCGGTATATAAGCCCATATCCTGACAGATCTGAAGCTTGGGCGGAGTGGGGCCACTCTCACCGAGTTTATGGAAGGGGATGGGGAGGAGGAGGGATTCAAGTTCAGAGTGATGGTGGTTGAGTAATCAAGGGATCAAAGGCTGGTGGATTAAGTTCCCAAGCTTCCCAGAGGTGGCCTGCGTGGGAGACACGGTGCCTGGCCCTTGGAGCCATTGGTCCCCAGCATAGGTCCGGACTGATGTAAGGTGGTCCTCGAGTCTTGGGGCTGGAAGGTCTGAGGCCACTATGCCCTCTCTCCCTTTTCTCTGCCCTGAGAAGGAGCCTAGTATATAGAGGCGGGAGCCCTGGTCCAGCTGCCGTCACCTGCCAGCCGGGGGGACCCACCCAAGAGAGTTTTTATAGATCTGCCTCCTTATCTATCATCCTCCCCAGAGGTGCTGTGGGGACAGTGCTTGGTTCATTGCGAAGAACTTACCTGCCTGAATCATCGCCCCGGGACAGTGCAGGGGAGAGCACCCCACTGGGTGACGCAGCTCCACAGAGGGCACCTCCGAGCTGGTGGCACGCGTCTACACTGTGTGGGCCTGGGGGAGGGGCCTGGGGCCTCTCTGAGGTGTGGAGGAACCCACGTCATGGGGAGAGTTCTGCGTGAGTCCATCTGGGAGGCCCCTTGGTGTAGCTCAAGCTATGACCTGCCAGGGACGGGGTCCAGAAAGGCAGCAGGCAGCACGGCTTTCTTGGTGTCTGAACGGGCGCACTGTGGCCGGCGGCACCAGGTCAGCCCGGAAGCCCCGAGTCCAGTTTCCTCATCCGTACGGTGATGGTGGGAGCCTAACAGGAGTTTTATAAGCCCCAGTGAGCTACCAGCGGCGAATGCTTGTCTGAATCTGATACTGATAGGGAGTGATAACTGCCATCAGAGAGCCGTGACATGAGGGTGTCATCCCGTAGTGAGATGGTGTCATCCGCGTGGGCAAGTTTTGTTTCCCGCTTCTCACAGTGGTAGGAAAGTCCGCAAACACGAAAGAGCTCACGGGCTCATTGTAGCATGCCCACTGTGGCCAAGGCAACGTGGTGCCCCCAGCAGGACATAGCTCTGGCCATTCTGAGGGGGAGCCGAGGGGAAATCAGAACTTCAGAACACTAACAGCAGACCCATTGCTAGGGGAGGGACACTGAGCCCAGGACACTTTCTGTCTCCAGAAAGCTTCCAGACGGGTCCTGCAGAGGCTCCAGCACAGTGGCTCCACGGGGCTCTGGGGTGTCACCGAGTCGGACCCCAGCAGCTGTGTTCCAGCACCTCCCCTCCCCAGGTGGGCCGCCAAGATAAGCCATCAGCCAAGCAGGGAAAGAGGTGCTGGTTTGACCCTCAGTGTCCACAAAAATCCTCTGCCTGCCCACCTGTAATTAGTACTGATCCTGAGAGGCATTAATACATCTTCAGCACTCTTTTCTCCCATTTCTGAAGTAGAATGGTGTTTTCTCCAATCTGACAGAAAGAGCTACACAGGCATGGATTCGAAATGCCCTGTCCAGGTAGACCAGTGCCCCCAAGGCCCTTCCCTCTGGTCGCTTTGGAGCCCTTGCTCTGGGACAAGGGGAGGACTCGCTCCCAATGTGGTACCTTTGGACAGATTCTCAACTTGCTGAGTGATTTGGGGCAAGCTGTGGAGCCTCTCTGTGCCCCGGTTCCCTCATTTGTGAACTGGGTGGGGGGGTTGTTGTGTGGACCAGAGGCAGTATACACCAAGGGCCCCAGTGCTGGGCCTGGCTCGTGGTCCAAGGAAGCAGCAGAGATTCCCAGGCTGAGCAGAGCTGACCTCCCAGAGCAACGTTCCCCAGGCGCACTGCATGGTCTCGAGCCACAGGCCCAAGACGGGCTGAGACCTGGCTGGTTAGCTCCCCCTCCTTTCATCCACACTGACACTGCAAGCAAGATAGGAACCTTCGAGACAGGATGGCAGGGACATATGCCCTCCCCACACTGGGTGGGGAGCCCCAGTCTAAATGGCTTGATTCCTGGTCCTTCCCTGGTGGGGAAAACATCCTTTCCATTGCCCGTAGCTTCCGTCCAGTGTCTCATGCTGACGACCGGTTGCCTACCCTGCAAGTACCACGTGCATTGCTTGTTATTCAGATGTTGTGAGCACAGTAAGCTGGAAAGGGCTCCCTCTGGACAAGAGTCAGGGGGCCTGGCTGGCCCCAAGTGCTGGATCTGTCACTAACTTGCCACAAAACCTTGTACATGTCCCTTTAATCTCGCTGAGGCTCGGTTTCTGCCCCTGTAAAATAGTCTTCCACTGGCCCTGTCCGCCCCCTGGGGCCTGGAAGGTTGATTGGGAATGCCCTTGAAAGCACTTCGGGCCTCAAATCCTCGGTGAGATGTCAATACACAAATGAGTAAGCGGTACATATTGGTTCTCCCCTGAGAAGGAATTATTCATAGTTCATTAAACAGCCGTCTCCTGTGTGGACAGCTCATTACCAAACAGCTGGTATGACAGAAAAGCACAGTGTCCGCGTCTAGTCTCGTGGGGAACGGGACCCTGGACCGGAGGGTCCTTCAGTCTCTCTACGAGGGGGACTCCTGCCTGGCGGCAGCTGCCCACCACTAGCCTTCCTGCTGCCCAAGCTCCCATCTAGAAGGTGGGGCAGGTAGGGTGTGGATCCCAGTCTGTGGTTGCTAAAGCCCTCCTGTTCCTATTTAAATCACGCACCCTTCCTCAGCGGCAGATCCCAAAGCAGAGGAGGGGGTACGGGAAAGCCACTTGGGTTCCCCATTGCCCCCAAGGACACGAGAAATGTCGAGCTCTCCTGTCCACAGCCTCTGATCGCGGCACCCCAACGGGCGGCTCCTCCAAGAAGGGAATTACGTGTCCGATTCTTCCTCTTTGTTTTCCAAAGGGCACTGGGAACGGGTGAAGTGTGTGGCTGGGCAGATTCACCGAAGTCCCATGGGAAGCAGGACCTGGAGCCGGGCTCAGCGCTCAGCACCAGGCAGCAAGGAACCCGGACTGTTGCCAGACGCCCGTGCGGTAAATGACCTGGACCTGTGCCGCCCGCTGCCGGGGAGGCCTCCCTCGCCCTCTCTCTTGAGTTTCTCACCCTGCTCTGGATGGTGTGTGGTTTTTAAAGAAGGGGCTTTCTTTTTAGTTCTCTAGGGTCTGATAGGAACAGACCCCAGGCTTATCTTTGCACATGTTAAAGAAAATAAAAATGGAAAAAAAAATTCTACTCCGACAGAACAGGCTGGGCTGCCATGAGCTCTCTGCCTGGTGGTGAAGAACTCAGCACAGGCAGGACTGTTTCCAGACGCTTCTTCTGGTGACATGCCAAGATGCCTGTGAGGTGGGAGTTAGGAAGTAGGACAGACCCCTGCCGTCTCCTTTTCTTGGTCTCCTCCTGCTCAGATCTGATAGACTTCCACATTCGGACAAAAGCCATAGGTGTAGCTAGGATCAAGTGGGAGGGAGGCCCAAGGCAATTGTGGGAGTAGGATTGGGAGTTTTGAAGAACCAGGAGCGCTGGGCGGCCTGGGAAGCTGTTTGAAGAGCGGCTGTGTGTTCTGCTCAGTGTCGTTTCCTCTGTCAGCCTGTTCTGCGCCAGAGGCTCTTAGGAACTGCAGTCAGAGCTCCCAGTCTCTGTTGTCCTTCTGTGGTGTCTACCAGGAACGCAGTGCGGGGTGTTTTGGCTTTTTTTTTTAAGAGGACGAAACGATGTAAATAGGTTATGTTTAGGGGTGGTGAGCCTTCTGCAGCTCCAATGGTTTCCTAAAGAGAGAAGTGGTATCTTTAGAAGGGGCCATTCAGTCCCTCCCAGCCCTGCTCACCTGCGGATTCCCCACAAAAACAACTCCAGGTAGAGCAGTTTGGAGTTCAGGTTACCTCAGTAGAAATCAGACAAAGGGTCAGAGAGAGAGTAGCGGTTGATTCCTGAAGTCCCAACTTGGTGATTTGTAGCTAGGGAGGATAAAAACAGTTCCTTCGTTTCTGCTCCGATAAAGACACATCTTCTGGCTTCCTTTCCCTGCTTTGGCCTGTGCGGATAAAAGAGAAACACACACCTGCTGGCCTCACCTGTGTGCAGAGAGCACGCCAGTCCACGCAGTTCCCAAGGATCAGGAGGAGGTGTTCGAAGGAGGGCAAGCAGCCTCTCCCAGCTGAGCTCCCCTTGCTCCAGGCGGGTCCTCTTGAGGGTCCTGAACGGAGGCCAGCAGATCGGATGGCACGAGCCAAGGCCACAGCTCTGTCCTAGGGAGAATCAGCAAGAAGAGAGGCAGCGGGTGTAGAGACGAGAACAAGCTTGTTTCTTCCTTTACTCCCTTCTCTCTTTGGTCTGCCTCACACTGACCTCAGCTACCGGGGCAAGTGATCTTCCTGCTTGCTCAGGCAGGCTTGCCAAGACCATCTAGAAGCCATGCCCGCACTCTTGATTCTGCTGGCAAGGAGCCCGGCTAAAGATACACATCCCATCCCCCTCTCCAGAGAGTCTGAAATGCCCCTCCCCATCTCACCTTAGACTGAAAAGTTTTCAATCATGTCAACCGGATAATGCTTGCTTTATGTGAGAATTATTTCAGCAGAATGGATACAAATTTTCAGAACAGTCTTTTCATATCTATGTATTCTATATTAAAAGTGATAAAGTCATGTTTCTGGGGCGTATTCAAGTAGCCGACAAGTAATTATTTAATAATAGTACACTGAGCGCATTGTAATTATTCTCGCCGTAGTCAGGTAATAGTATCCAACAGAAATTTCCTACCGATCTGCTGTATCCAAAGTTTTGTAAAAAGTTGTAGAAGTTGTTGATCTTTTTGATTTTATATTCAAAAAGTCTCTTTTTATAAATATTATTTATTATACAATGTATATACCTTTGAGTTAACTAAGATTATATATTATATAAATATATATATATTTGGAGAAAATATATTTCATCATGCAGTTTTTTTCTGTTAAGTCATTAAAGAGAAGGTAAACAAACTTAAAATGGATACATTGTACCATGTGTGGAGTTTCCAGATTAATGCTCAGGAGGTCAAGAATATCCAATTTCTGAAGGTGGTGGCCTGAACTTGCACCCTTAATTGAGTGGCCCAAAGTAAAGCCATTCCCTCTGTTCTCTAAGCAGGATCATCTCAGACATCAGGGACATTGGGTCTCATCTACTGTAGGACTTTCTTACAGGCTTACCTTGTTCTAAGTCCACATCTGACCAGTAATTCCTAGGTTTGGAAGTAAGCGGTTTGGGCTGTAATTCCTTTCCTAGACTCTAGCACTTCACTGCACAAATGAATATCACAGACACTCAAAAGATGTGGCTCAAGGCCAGCAGCCCACGGGGTTGGTTAATCCTTTCCTCACCCATGATTGCAACTCCATTTATTGGGAAAATAGGATTTGCTCTATTGAAAATGAAACCTGACTGGAAATGGCTTCCCCTCCTGCTAGCACAGCTACAGAAGGGGTAGGTTGGTCGGGAAGAAGAAATGGTTTGGCCTGGCCTCTGGGTGGCCTGGAACAGGTATCATCTGAAGTTGGGGGTTGGGCAGAGAGGACCCAGCAGTGGGCGCGCTCTGGGAAGGGCATTTTCTCCTTGGACTGCTGCTTCAGAAGGACTCACCTGAAGCTCACAAGCGATGCGCTCGACGATGAGGGGCAATAATTTGGTTTTATGATGATAGACAATCCTTTGGTCTTCAGACCTGCCCATAAAATGTCACCTTCAGTTTGTGTAGCACAGCTAAAATGCTTTCTTTTTCTTTCTCTTTCTCCCGGTTTACCTTTATTAGAAGCAAATCTTATTCATCTCCCTGCAGAGACGAAAACAACATAAAAATAAAGTGGTCTGGGGGCGCCTGGGTGGCTCAGTCGGTTAAGCGACTGCCTTCGGCTCAGGTCATGATCCTGGAGTCCCAGGATCGAGTCCCGCATCGGGCTCCCTGCTCGGCGGGGGGTCTGCTTCTCCCTCTGACCCTTCCCCCTCTCATGTGCTCTCTCTCTCATTCTCTGTCTCAAATAAATAAATAAAATCTTTAAAAAAAATAAAAAATAAAAAATAAAGTGGTCTGCCTTGTGCACGGCGATGGGCTGCCCTTGCGCTCTATTCAGACCTTTAACCTGAGATTAGGAATGGCCACTAGAAGTTCATGAACTTTATTGTGCCTGTGATGTGTCATTGCTTAGTCCCTGAAAAGTGTAAGCCACAAAAATGGTTGTACTGGCCGCACAAGGAATTGGACGTGGAGCGCAGAAAGAAATCTCTGTTTCTCACAGCCCTGCTCATCTTGTACTTCACTCTTGACATAAAACTAATACTCATCTCCCCCAGCATCCTGGGTACCTTTTTTTTTTTAATCTATAAGATTGCCAAACATTTAAATGGTCCCTATTCATATTTACCAAGGCCATTTGTAATCCTTTCTATGATTAATCATATTCTATGATTAAAGAGAACACAGTTTATTGCAGTGCTTGAACATTCAATTTCTCCGTAAGTATAAATACTAATAAACATCTAAAAACAAGAGGAAGTTTTAAAAAAAAAAGACCCAAAAGAAAGAAAAGAGACAATATAGTGGGAAGATCTCTTTCAAAGTGGTTGTTTATGAAAAAAACAGGGGAGAAAGGCTGGGGATGGGGGGGGCAAATAAAGGCAAAGGAAAGGCAGAGAAAAGGAGGGGGAGGGATGATGGGGAGGTGATCCTAGGTGGATTCAGTGATGGGATCCAGTGACCCAGTGGTACATCCATGCCAGCCCTGGGTATATGGACGGACATGTAAGCTGTGGCTGATCGACACACACAAGGGAAATTAATGCGGCAAAATGATGGTGGCTATGCTGTCGTTTCTCTTAGCTTGACAGAGAACTCTTGAGGAGGCAAAGAATTACCTTACCAATAATCTGATACTCCTAAGGGAGTATGACCCAAGTCAGTTGCGTGGAGAGACCGTATGCGGGGGAAAGTTCAAACTCAAGTCCTCCTTGCAAATGCTGTCTACACGGCTTGAGATTCTTGCCCATCACAGATACTCGGTAGAGCATCGTCATGCCTGGGTGTCCGCACAGCACACGCCCTCTGTGGGCTCTGCTCCAGGGCCCGGTCTCAGCTCTGCTTGCCAGTGGAGGAGAAACTTTACATCATTTTGCAATAACTTCTGAAATTTACATGCTTTTTGGACTTTCATCCACACCTTCCCCGGTGTCTTCTTTGAAGAGGCTTATGAATCAAGTGGCCAGGCAAGGAACAGGAAATCTTGCTTTTGCCTTCTGTGCTTGGGCTGGGTTGGTTGGTTATTGCTGACTCAGTGCTTCGACAAGTCTGTTTACCAGGATCTGATTATTACACACTTGAATCTACTCTATGACTTGCTGCTGAAACTTAAAGCAGAGGCGGTTCACTGTAATTTTTAGGACATGAAAAGACAGCCTTAAAGCAAACCATGTTTCAGATTTTAGCCATTATAGTTTTTCTGTTATATATATATATAAATATATATAAGATTTTATTTGAGGGAGAGAGAGAGACTGGGCAGGGGGAGGGGCAGAGGGAGCGGGGCTCAATCCCAGGACCCTGAGATCATGACCTGAGCTGAAGGCAGATGCTCAACCGACGGAGCCACCCAGGCGTCCCCTTGTTACATAGTTTTGAAGGTATTTCAGTGAAGATGTACAAATACATGTAGGATGAGATAACCTCCTTTTCTGAGGTTTTAATTCTACCTGCTGACAAAAACTAGCCTGTTCACGGTGCATCCGTATATGAAGAAATCTAAAGCAGCAACTGGCTGGCCTCCTTTGCTTTGTCACTAGGCTTATGACGTCGTCATATGCTCGCTCACTCTCTGCCCAGGGCAGCTTTGAAGAGCACTGGGATAGCTTCAAGACCCTACCTTCCCAAGGTTGTGCAGGGACCCGGGTGGCCTCGGGGTCCTCCTAGGAGGTGTGGACAACTCCCAGGGAGCTGACCTCTTTGCACTGAGCCTTGCTGATTCTCTGAGCTGCCTTTCCTCCTAACCTCACCCCACTCTAAGCATCGGGCTTTTAGGCTAAGAGATCCAACAGCTCAGAAAAATGCAAAAAAGGATTCCAAAATGAAACATGTGAAGAAATCCCACTGAGAGTGTCTGAATCCCTTGGTTTGTACATTTCAAAGGAATAATTCTAATTGAGAAACAGTTTTCCTTTCTGGATTATTACTAACCCATTTATGGCTTTGGTCTGCTTCAGTTTTTTAATAAGGTGGAAATAAGTAAAATAAGTATGAAGGTTCTTGTTATGCATTAACTCTTGAAAATATGCTATTGATGTATTTCTCTTTTCAAGTGACTATACTTCCTAAATAATGAAAACCAGAGACTTTTAAATAAAAATCCTCCATCTCCTTAGGCTAGTTATAACAAAACAAGGAGGGGCTTTTCTGAGCCCCCTCCTCTTCACACATTCCTATCAGTTATGTGTGTTGTTTTGTACAAAACATGGTCCACAGAATGTTTTCGAGTATAGATACTCTTTATTGCATTCCTTCATTTGCAAGAAACAATATATATTTTTCAATACAGTTTTGGACAAAACACAAAAGACATGAACCTCATTTAACGAGAGCCATAAGTTAATACAGTGTGTGTTGCTTTCCTGGGAGGAGAAAAGAGGCAAGTTGCACAAGAGATAGGGGACCCGGGGTACTGGCCATCAGGGATCACAGAATTACACAATACAAAATCCACAAAATAAGCTAGGGATGAAAACCCAAAATGAAGTAGATATGACACAGAAGTCAACCAAAAATATACAGATGGCAGGATCTGGAGATAATTCGCCTTCTACCACGGGGACAAATGACAGCTACACCCAAGTGCCACTGTGGCCACAAGCCTCATGGGCGGCGTGAAGCACCTTCAGGTGGCTGCTGACCGCTCATCCCTGCATTTGAAGCTGCAGGGTGGTGGGGGGGGAGGTGGGGGGGGAGTAGGGGGGTGGAGACAGTGGACTTGCTCCGGAAGTCTCATCACAGATATGACGACCTGATTCATTCCTTCTGACTCAGTTATAAGACTAACCACTGGTTCTCCTTCCCTTTGGAAAGAGCATGTGGAGGGGAAAGGAAGTGTGTTAAACATACTGGAATGGATGTTAAAAGACTCGGGATGAGGGCTAGAAAACGGTTTCTTCTGGAGAATAGTGTTTTATTTAATGCTAGATAGCACAGAGGGTTTAAAATAAAGGAAGAATAAATTCTAAGTCATTAAGATGAGGAAAACGACAAATGGTGATACTAATAAGAAGCCTTTAATATAAAGAACTGTCCCATTTAGAGTTGGACATTAATTAGTGCAGAGAGATTTATAAATGACTTCATTTTAATGACTCCTTTCTGTTTAGGGGTGTAGGCTTTTTCCATACAGGTCTTTCCCAAGTCGTTAACAGCTACCACGTGGTAATGGCCAGCACATCTCTTGCCACGGAGCAAATGAGTAACACTGAGGGGATGCCACGGCCAACACAGTAATAGTCGGACTTTCTATTAAGAAAGATCTCCTGACTGCAACTTGGAAACATCTCTGAAAATGAGAACAGCATCTTAGAAATTCAAAGTCCTGTTTCTTCAGGCAAAGATAACCACCAGTTTTCTGGGAGAACCTTTAACCAAATACCCAAGTACCTTTAGTGTTAGCGGAGGGGAGCTGTAAGATATAATCCCTCTGAACCCATACCTCTAAGTCACTGCTCCTGGTTTACATCTAGAAAGTCTTCCTTCTAACAGGCCAAGTGTTGTCTTGCAACATCATTACATTTACTGAGAGTTTTTGGGTGGTGATGGTGGTAGGGAGCTTAAAATGTCTAGTGTTTACAAGGGCAGTGTATGTCCCACACTTCAAGACTGAGGAAGAAGAAATCATCCTAGCTTGCACAGAGAGGTAAGCATAGCATTCTAGAGCAAATTTGTACCTTCCACAAAACAGAATATCTGAGTAAGCACAAGGAAGGGAGTTTTATTGCACTAATCATGCAGAGTGAGCACACGTTGAAGGTAGGGATCATTTCACTTTGTCTAGGATCTTGAGTAAGTTGAGTGAAGATCCCAGGCCGTCTTCACCTTGGTCACTTCCCTTGGTCACTATGTGTGTGCAAAGAGTCCATTTTCAAAGTCCAGGGGGCTACTGAAAAAGAAACACCCCCCAAAAAAAAAGCAGATGAGGGTCTGCAAAAAGCCATTTACCACAAAATTACTAAAAGCTTAATGGTTTTTCTACATTTTTTGCTATGCATTTGTTATTAGATGAGCATTTCAAAAAAGAAAATGGTCATAGCCCCATGCATTTAAAAGCAGCTTCCAATAAATATGTACCATAGAGTTTTTTCCTGCATTGTGACAAGGAAGTTTTGCGAAGCAGGACAAGGAGAGCAAACCAACAGTACAACCAATTTCCTTGCTTGGTCTCTCAGACCTACAACACAGTGAAGAATGCTAATAAATGGAAACAAAGTTGTCCAAGAAAAGTTGAAAATTCAAATGTATATGCACTGTACAGCAACGCTTAGAACAGGTACTGGGATTTAACAGTGTGGTAAGTCTGGCTCATGGTCTTAAGTGTTGTGTGTACTTACGCTCCTTCTTCTCCTAAGAGGGCCAGGAATTTTCTCACACGGTATTCAGGATCCATCTAAATACATCAGAAGAAATAAAGAACACAGGTTAATGGTACCTTCTAATAACTGTGCACTTAATGCCAAGGAAATGCTCGGTTTCATACTTCCACCAGTGCTCTGCTGAGTCACAGAAATACATTACCTGCTCCTTGACCAGTATTCTGATACACGGCGAAGCAGATTACATCATTCAAGAGGAGTGAACAGGACTTCCTAGCACAGAGAATCACTGTGCACAAGGTTCCAAGTGACCCAGCTGGTCATTCCCAGGCACCTCAGCCAAGTGCCCCCTCAGCTAGCGCTGTGTGAGGAGGCAGCACGTCTGAGAGGACACATGTGAGACCAGACGATGGCTATTCACGGGGGTTCGAATGGCATCCAAGTCATAGGAGTCATCCAACATATAAAAGTGAGACCAAACTTAAACCAGATGAGGTTGATTAAATGACTAAAAAGTAGCTTATTAACTCTTCATGATCAACATATTCGCTTTTCTTAGCCTTGGTCTTCCATGCAGTTTCTTCTTTGCAATTATGAAAAAAATGGTCATGAAAGTAAAAAAATGAAGAGTGGGGCTGACTCCCCTAACATGGCCCCTGGATAATCTGGATCTCCTGTGACAGAAAAGCATCAGGATAGGGGAGCCTGACTGGCTCAGTGGAGCATGTGATTCTTGATCTTGGGGTTGTGGGTTTGAGCCCCACGCTGCGTGTAGAGATTACTTAAAAAAAAAATCTTCAAAAAAAAAAAAAAAAGTATTCCTAAGTCTAGGAGAAGATAGGGGAATTTTGGTTCAGAGGCCAAGTTTAGGATATTACTAATTTTCTCTATTCATTTTCTTTTATATTCATGTTTATACTAATTTATTTATATTTTGTTCTCATTGGTCCACCAGAGATCTTAAGTTATCTAAAAAATGATCATTAAAAACATCTTTAATTCCTTAAGATGAATTTTTATTGTAAGAAACATACCTAACTTTTAAAAAATGTTCCAGGGCAAGGAGTCTGTTTCCCAAGAGGGAACTCCCTGCCCTCCAGGGAGAGCTTTCAAATGTCAGTGCAGCCGTGGGTAAATGTGCACTTGGATTCCCCCTACCACCACATTTTTTTTTTAAGATTTCTTCTCTTCTATCCCAAAAAAAACATTGAACAGAAGTTTCAAATGTATCAAAGTTAAGAGGTCAGACTACAAAGGACTAAGAAAAAGTGTGAATAGCTAACAAAAGAAACATTTTCCCTCTTTGGGAATAGAATTACATATGAATCAATTGTCAAGTTCTTTAAAAAAATGGAACTGGCTGGAGCTCAGCTGTAGTCAGTACTTGCAGGTCTTTGCCCATTAAATATATTTAATATGTGTGAGCAACGACTTACTGACTTGCCTGTAGCTATGGAATTAAAAGTCAAGAGAAAGGGAGGAAAAAAGTAATCTAGATAAATGACTTTATTCCCTCAGGTGACATCCAGTCAGAGCAGATCCTCAGCACTGTGCAAGTTTTAACAGAATCGTGTATAGTGAACAGAGAGGTAACATGACTTATATTCTGCTCAACTACATGCCTCTCCACTTAGGCTCAGTCTCTTTCAGGCAGATCTAAAGAGAATTCACTCAGCTGCACGAAATCCATTTGACAAGAAGGGGTTCAAACTCAGAGGCCTATGAAGTGTCAGTCGCTGAAGATTAGGCCTGAGTGCCCCACTCTCACTTTCTGCCCCACATACATGAGAGGCATTAAGTTGATCACTGACCTGCAGGCATCAAAGGAAGAAGGGGTAGGGACTGGAGTGAAAAGCCCACATAGTTTCTTCTATGCAATTATTGAAAAAAAATTATGCTGAAACCAAAAAAATGAAGAGTAGAGCTGACTATCTTGACAGATTTATCTTTTCCCAAGGAAAGAGCTAATACATCTGTATATGCACCTTTACCAAGGATAATCCTAAGCAAAGTGATTAGTCTGTAACTTCAATTTACATTCATCGTGGAAAATAAATTTCAGTCTGGCTGAATGTTCAATACATTCAACTTTAGGTTTCTGAAAGCCACAATTTTGTTTTAAAATAAATGTTCCAGCAAACTAAAAAGCATTCACTTCGTGTTCTCCATTTGTTATTGGTCCAAGAGCCTATTTCACGTGTAACCGTGAAACTTCACTTCTACCACCCACTGCTCACGGGGCCGGGATGGCAGGACTGAGCAGTGACACATAATGCCAACAGCGCGGCCAGTCTGTCCACCAATGACCTGGGATGGACCCACCTGACTACAGTTCACTGAGCACCCTACTGTGTGTCCAGCTCTGTTCCAGGGACTGTGGATTCCAATAGTGAGTGACAGCCAAGGTCCCTGAACTCACAGAACTTGGCAGGAATACATTTATCATCTAATCAGTGTGTCAGATAAGGATAGGAAGACATAGGATGGACATGTGGAGGGGTAGAGTTCCCAAAGGAGGAAAGGTAAGTTGCCAGTAGACGTGAGAAAGTCCCAAAGAAATTTCATCTGTCTTTGCCCAGGCACTAGCCTAGGGCTCGGTTTTCTATGTGATCCTGGATGCTTTAACCCTACAGTAGTTTGCATGAAATTTCTAGGAGCCCAGCCAGGGGAAAATATAGAGAGCCTAAGTCTACTCTGTACAGTTCAATTAACTTGTCCCTTAAAACAGTCTCCCAGGGAGCCTGGGTGGCTCAGTTGGTTGAGCGGCTGCCTTCGGCTCAGGTCATGATCCTGGAGTCCTGGGATCGAGTCCTGCATCGGGCTCCCTGCTCGGCGGGGAGTCTGCTTCTCCCTCTGACCCTCCTCCCGCTCGTGCTCTCTGTCTCTCATTCTCTCTCTCTCAAATAAATAAATAAAATCTTTAAAAAAAAAAAAAAAAAAACAGTCTCCCAGGCCCCTTTTGGTGTAATGCACAGTAGCTTCCGGACCTCTAATAAACAATGTCATCTTCCTTCCATCAATAATTGGCTATGTGATCCTGGATAACCCACTGACCACCTGTGGGACACTCAATATCCTCATCTCTAAAATGGGGGCAGGGGGTGACGACAGGAGAGCAATTGCCTCTTTGAAGTCCTTTCTAGTTCTAAGATCTAATCACTCCCTAAATTAAAATTGAAAGTAACTTTATAATCTTTTTTTCTATTTCTGAATTTTAAGAAGTGAGAAAGAAAAGTACTCATAAGTTATTGTTTGGTCTCAGAAGCAGGCTACTAATAGCAACTTGAGTTCAGAAATAAGAGAACTGTAACAAACTAATTAAAACCTTAGCAAAGGAGGGGCGCCTGGTTGGCTCAGTCAGTGGACCAGGCGACTCTTGATCTCAGGGTTGTGGGTTTGAGCCCCACAATGGGCGTAGAGATTACTTAAAGTCTTTAAAACAAAACAAAACCTTAGCAAAGGAAATATAAAACCTTGGTATGTCACGAAGCTCCTGTGTCTGAATCCTATGGAGAATGCAGTATCTTACCTGGAGCGACATCTCAATCAACATTAGTAACTTCTTGATGCCTATCCAGACCTTCTTCCCTTTGACTTGCTGTGAAATTGTGGTACGTTCCTTATCTTTGAAGTTGCCCAAAAGCTACAAAAACAATAAAAATGACAAAAGCACTTTTATAGTAAGTGCATCAACATTAGTTAATGCTCACATTTATCCTTAAAAGAACAGTAGTAAGAACTATCTGACTGGTTCAGGTTGACAGGATTTTCTTCTATTTTAAAATCCAACCTGACCTTCTTAAACCCATTAGGTACAATTAATGAAAGTGAAAACTGGTATCCTAAATCCTATTTTCCTAGAGATCTCCATTATAATTTAGAGATATGTTTGCTGGGGGTTGGGGGGAAAAGAAAGCTTCAACCCACAATAAATATCAGTTAAAAATTTTAGCACGTGTCAAAGCAGAGACTAAATTTAATTCTTACCCAACCTCGGCACAAGAGCTGCTCACATAATTAATCTGGAGACATTTATCATACAATATCATGCAATCTATTTTGTTGGGAGTATGCCCCAACTGCATGGGTCTTGAGGATTTTAAGAAGCTTTTACCACTGTCAAACAAATCATTACATAACATTTTTTTCAGATCTCACCAAGTCATTTGTGTACATTGATATTAATCAAAAGTTTAATGAAGGTTATAGTTTTTTAAAAATTTAACTTTGTCATCCTCAAAAAATTTAAGAAAACATTTCCATATTATGAAGTTTTTAATAAAGCAGTTTCTTTTACTTCCATAGCATTTTCGCAGTCTCTAAGGTTTTAATCACCATTCCAATTTATTAAATGCAAGTAAATGAGCGGAAAGCTATTACGAGTGACCGAATTTTCTACATATTGATTACTCTACCACTCTACCCTCTCCTTCCCCCATTCCAAGTTTCTGGCCCATGTAATTTGTATGTATCACTCCTGGTGGGCACAGAGTAATTCATTCCTGGCAGGCTGCCTATACCAAGGAATGGGAAATTCATTCACTTTCACTGACATTCATCTCTTCCTCGAATCCCTGAAACGACTGAAGGTATATCCCAGGTGCCCTATTCTAGGTTAGCACACAAACTAGGCACCAGGTGCAATGCCCGCTGCGCCCCCTTTAGCATTATTCCCAGCCCCGACTCCTTTCGAATAGACACTTCGCAATCCATTGACTCATTTTCACCTCCAGAGCCTCCAACAGCTGCTCTCCTGTAGCAATGTTGGGCACGTGGACGGTGGTGCTGAAAGCGTTCAGCATCTCCATCTCCTGAAGGACATCTTTGCGGCTAGTGGTCCCAATGATAAGAAGCTTGCGGCCCTGATCACAGGGAGAAAATGTGTTAAAATGCAGGATAAGACTGGTTAGGAACCTAGAGTAAGCTTGAACAATGTCCATTTATTTAATTGCAGAAATGTAAGTGGTTAGGCAAAAGAAAAGAAATTCAGATTTTCTTCATGAAAATCTAAAGAAAAGTATCAAGAACAGGATTCAGAAAGGCAACAGCTCCTTCTTGTCATTCACGTCAATAAAATAATGGATGAGTAAGTCAGGGAGACATACAAACCAAATAAAAAGATACTGAAGTATATGCTCTAATTCATTTCTCATGGCCAACATGGTGTACGTATGGTGGGGATTGGAAAAAAGGAAATGAATGAATGGGAGGTCTGTATCACTCACTTAGCAAAGATTTATAATGCTTTTAAGAAGGAGTAGGGTAGGGGCGCCTGGGGGGCGTAGTCTGTTAAGTGTCTGACTCTTGGTTTCAGCTCAGGTCATGATCTTAGGGTCCTGGCGCCGAGCCTCGCATGGAGCCCTGCATTAGGCTGCTCAATCAGCAGGGAGTCTGCTTGAGATTCTCTCTCCCTCTGCTCCTCGGCTCGCACTCTCTCTCTCTCAAGTAAATAAATCTTTTTTTTTTTTTTAAAGGAGTAGGGTAACAATAATGGTTTACATTTCTGCAACACTTACCTGTAAAAGACATGGTGCCAAGTGCTTTACATAACTGTGTCATTTAATATTTTAAAATTTGTTTTATTTTTAACCCAAAAACATACAAAAAATGTTTAAAAACTATAGCAGGCCTACGCCACCATTCCTGATTCCCTCTCTCCAAAGGCAGTCATTTTAAACTCTTAGCTTTCTTCTTGTATTTACCTCCTTTTCTTTAAATAACAAGGTTACACCACTATTTTTAGATTTTCGTTTTCAGCTTTAAATATTATTTACTGACCACCTATTACTGAAGATGGGGATTTAATATTGATTTTTCACACACCCCCGCCATGTGCCCCTTTTTTTGTCCTTCCAATGTGGTTATTTCATAGTCTTTGAATAAAGCTACATTCAATATTTATCATGATTATATAAGTATGATTGACAGCTAAGCCATGTAGTATACTATTACATTTCCTTTCCTAGGAAACATTTTATATTTATTAGAGTTAATAACTGTCATTTTTACTCTCTGCTTGTTACCAGGTACCTATTACAAGTTCATCCCCAAACACAACCATGAATATCCTTTCAATACACTCAAACATGTCAGGGAATTTTAAAGTTTGTTTGTTTAAGACATCCCCCTCCTGGAGTCCTCTCTTCTCAAAGAGTCTGAATGGACGGCTGCTGCACAGCTGCAGTTCTAAAACTTTCTTCTCTCCTGTTAGATCCCCTACATCCTGGTCTTCATTTATTCCCTCTTTTCCATGGTGCATCTACTTCAATAACTTCCTGAGGGTGCACAGGAGGTAAAAATATAAAGACTTTGAATGTCTGGAAATGCTTTTATTCTACCATTATTATTGTCCACTCTATACCTGAGAGTGCAGCTGGGCACAGAGAACAAGGCTAAAAATAATTTTCCCCTCCAGAATTTTGAAGGCATTACTCTATTGTCTTTTAATTTTCAGTGCTGCTGGCTAGAAGACTGATATTATTCTGATTTTGACTCTTTGCTTCTACCTTTTTTTTTTTTTTTAATTTTAAAGGACCTTTTCCTTACCTTTGTATTCCATAATTTCAAAATCACATACTTTGAGATAAATCTTTCTTTACTCATTCTGCTGGTGCTAGATGGGTCCTTTCTAAACTGAAAAATGATTCAGTTTTAGGAAATATCTTGGATTATTTCTTTGATTTTTCTTCTATTTGTCTTTTCTTTCTTTCTTTTTACTCCTGGTTTTTACCTCTTTCTCTTTCAAATACTTTTTGGGTTAGGATCAACATTATCTTCCAGCCTTTATATTAAGTTCTTTCTATAATATATTTTCATTTCTAAGAGCTCTTTCTTGTTTCTTGAATGCTTTTTTTTATTGTATTTAATGGATATGATACCTTATTTTAGATTTGTGTGACTATTACAGATTTTATAATGTTTTCTTCTGTTCTCTGCTTTGCCCTGTCGCCCCAGAGTTCTTTTTTTCCTATTTGTTCACTGGAGCTTTCCCTCAAGTATCTGGTGATTGCTGGATGACTTATTCAGATTTAAGAGTTAAACTAGTGACTGGAAGCTCTGAGTCTGAGGGCTTCACTACAGGTTGATCAGATAAGACTTGGCTGATTATTGGGAGTCCTTCAAAGGTCAGGATGTGTACATTTTTCCCAGAGAAGAATCTTCCAATCTTCTTCCTGAAGGCTATAAAGCCTAGTTTCCAGCATACTGGGATTAGATGCAGGAAGGGATCTGGGTAGCTCACCATTCAATATGGAGACTCCCATTTATTCTTATTTGCAGAATGGCATCTCTTGAGATCAACATCTCATTTCATGTTCATATAATCCTGAGAATTAAGTACTTGTATTATCTCTACGTTACTGATGAAGCTATTGAATCTCACAGATAAAAGTAGTTTGTTGAAGTCAAATAGCTAATATATGGTGGATCCAGGAATGGAAGCCAGATCCAGAATCCAAAACTGTATACTGCTTTTCTTGATGAAGAAAAACACATTTAAAAAAATGTTTACTTGGGGGCGCCTGGGTGGCTCAGATGGTTAAGCATCTGCCTTCGGCTCAGGTCATGATCCCAAGGTCCTGGGATCGAGTCCCACATCGGGCTCCCGGCTCGGCGGGGAGCCTGCTTCTCCCTCTGACCCTCTCCCCTCTCATGCTGTTTCTCTCTCGCTCGCTTTCTAAAAAATAAATAAATAAAATCTTAAAAAAAAAAATGTTTACTTGGGGGACGCCTGGGTGGCTCAGTCGTTAAGCGTCTGCCTTCGGCTCAGGTCATGATCCTAGGGTCCTGGGATCGAGCCCCGTATCGGGCTCCCTGCTCCGTGGGAAGCCTGCTTCTCCTTCTCCCACTCCCCCTGCTTGTGTTCCCTCTCTCGCTGTGTCTCTTTCTGTCAAATAAATAAAATCTTTAAAAAAAAAAAAAAATGTTTACTTGGAAAATGGAAGAGGAATGCATTTTAAACTATGTCACTAGATTTATGGTACACGCTTACTCCACAGATAAGCCTTTAATACAATCATTAAACCTATTCATGGATCTTAGAAACTCAGGATGTTAAAATGAGAAAACAGGGGTTCCTGGGTGGCTCAGTCAGTTAAGCGTCTGCCTTCGGCTCAGGTCATGATCCTAGGGTCCTGGGATCGAGCCCCACGTCGAGCTCCGTGCTCAGCCAGGGGCCTGCTTCTCCTTCTTCCTCTGCCGCTCCCCCTGCTTGTGCCCTCCTGATCTCTCTCTGTCAAATAAATAAAATCTTAAAAGAGAGAGAGAGATAATGACAATACACTATGAACAGGTGGGAGGTATTATGCATAGGACGTCACGGTAGAGGGAGGGAACAGGTGGCAGAGAAACATCTGCTCTTTCTCTGGAACTGAGTCTTAAGGAATGAGTAGGTTGATTAGGAAGTTGAAGGGCAAGGATATTCCAAGCCAAAAGGAGCAGAAATACGTAAGTCTGAGGGCGAAATAATAAAAACAAAAATTGGGGTATTTACAAACACACAAAGACATACACATTTCTACTATCACAGAAGAGTGGTGCTTTAACATTCAACACTAAACTCCATCTGTAAACTTAGGAGCACATCCCTGAAGGCTAACAGATGGCTAAAGGCCACACAGGCTTATTATAATGAAAGGCAACTGTTATCTCTCCTTATGTTCTATAGCCCATAATTCAAACTCCCTCATCTTGCCTTCTCTCAAGGAGGGCCACACGTTGGCTGTCCCCAGAAGAACGGCATTGAGGAAGAAGCTTCTTACTCACTCCAGAAAGCTGGAATTGCCATTTTCCAAGTGAAACTTTCTCTTACATTTACCGTGACTATGTTCTTCGGAGTGTTGAAAGACTGGGAAATGTAGAGCAACTTATAATGGAAACACTAATTTATGTTTTGCCTTACTTCTTGTTTAACAAGACTGCAAACACTGCAGAGGGGTCATGACCCAGGCAAGTTCAGGTCTTGACATGTAAAGCCTCATCTTTAAGAAAACACCGAAAATCATTACCAAATAATTAAATTGTGCTGGGTCATTCTGTCTATTAATTAGTGGTAATGCTCATGAGGAAGCTTTATCATGAAAAAAACAACTCTGAGTGTGTTAATGTAGTAAATCATACTGGAGAACAGTTTGGATGAAAAGCTGCCAGCAGCATGTAATAGAAAAGCCGCCTCTAAAAATAAAAGTAGAGTTCAACCCAAGAAGGGAAATCCAACTCATTAATGTGTGGCTACTAGTCTTAAGTCTACAGCATGGAAACATGCCCCTTGATGGAAAGAAAAAAAGTAGACTAGTAACTTATTTGAGGGATAAAAAAAATTGTTCCCAGAATACTCTTTACCGAGATTTGCTAGTTCCTGATACAATAAAGAAACGGGCCTAAATAAAATGACTATCTGCCAATCGGATTATGATAAACATTGTTGCAAGGTTAAATAAGTATTAGTTAACTAATTCTTGGTACCATAAGAAGCAACTCAGGTGAAAACATTTCCATGAAAAAGGCAGGGCTCAGTCAGGTGTTGATCCTTCAAAAAAACACTTCTTTACACGATGAAGAATGAACAAAGTACTAAGCAGTATCTAAGCCTTTTGCCACACAAAGGACTAACCAGATAATCCACACCCTTTCATAGATCCTGCCCATTGATTGGCCCCAATAAACTGATTTGTAACAAAAGTTCATGTGGAAGAAAGCTTTTTTTCTTAAATAAAAATGCCACCAATATAATACTGCAGTGAAATGGAAGGGCTGATTTTAACCTGTGAACAAAAGTAAAGTCAGTTATGCAGTAAAGAAAGGCCATTCTTTCCATATCATTCAATGCTGAGCTGGTGTAATACACCCTTGGTAAGAAGAATTA